CGCAGGGACCTCGAGCACCGCCGCCGCCTCGTCACGCGACCCCGGCTCTTTCCCGGACACGGCTTCGGTCAGTGCCCAGCGGCGGGGGCCGGCCAGAAGCACTGTCACAACCAAGTGTGGACGCCACTTCCGTCCCCCCATATACTCCACCGTGCCCCTGCTTCGCCCCGTGGTTGTCCCTGGCAACCGAGGACGTGTCCGGCCGGCAGTTTTGCATTTTCTGGGGTGTCTTCTAACGGAGTCATGCTCACACAGACTCAGGTGTGAGCACAGCTTCTTCGTTAGCGGGACTGCTTTGTGTGTGGGCCCACGCGGCTGCATCTGTCTGCGGGTCGTCCTGGCGGCCGAGGAGTCGGTCTGCACTTCCCATGTGCCGTCGGGGCTGTTTCCGGCGTGGGGCTGCTAGGGAGCAAGGCGCCGTGAGTGTCCGTGTGCAGGATCTTGTGCAGCACGTGTGGTCGTTTGGGGGTAGAGCACCTACCAGTGGAACTGCCGAGTGGCACAGAGGTGGGCATGCAACTCAACAAACTGCTAGATCCCTAGCCACCATGGTGGTTCTGTTCAGACCCCCTTTTTATTTTTTTTAAGATTGTTCATTTGTTTTCTTTTTAAAGAGCGGGCAAGGGAAGGAGAAAGGGAGGAGAGAAACACTGATGTGTGGTTGCCTCTCCTGGGCCCCCTACTGGGGACCCGGCCTGCAACGCAGGCCTGTGCCCCGACTAGAAATCGAACCAGCGACCCTTTGGTTTGCAGGCCGGCGCTCAATGCACTGAGCCACACCAGCCAGGGCTAGACCCCCTTTTTTAAAAGTGATCATGTTTAAATGCTGTATGAGCGTCAGGTTTTACTGGCCCTAACCAACTATCCATTGGCAGTTAGACTGGACCCCATAGAGCAGGGGTGTCAAACTCATTCTCACCGGGGGCTGCATCAGCCTCGTGGTTGCCTTCAAAGGGCCGAAATAATTTGAGGACTGTAAAATGTGACTACTCCTCAACTGTTAAGGAGCTGAAATTATATTCAGCCCCTTGAAGGCAACTGAGAGGCTGATGTGGCCCCCGGTGAAAATGAGTTTGATACCCCTGCCGTATACGCATCCATCATCCATCCATCATCCATCCATCATCCATCCACCATCCATCCATCCACCATCCATCATCCACCATCCATCCATCCAACTGTCCGCCATCCTCCATCCGTCCACCCTCTCTCCAGCACCCACCCAATATGCATGCACACCTGCCATGCTTCAGATACTCTGCCAGGACGGGCAGGGCCTTCCACATTTTCGTGTTATCCGCCATTCTGAGCCTATGAGAAGATTCAGGACGCACGTATTGTTTGACATTGAAAATGCTATTTTTTATGCCTTTAGCCATGAAAGGGTAGGAGCCAGAAAAGCAACGTTGAGTTTTTCTTTTCCAAAGGCTATTTTTGTTGGGAGACTTTTCAATCCCTTACCCCAGCTTAGGAAGATAAATGAGAAAACTTCCCAACACTCATTTACTCTTCAAAATGCAACATGATTTATGCCCTGTGTGTTTATTGCTCAAATAAGCAAAATCCGACCGGATTGCATGATTATCTTGAGATAGAGTTAAGCCCAGATAATTGTGTTTGTCCTTAATCATTTTTTTACCAATTCATCTCTTCCCCAAGATGATTCAGATGGAGCCTGGCATGGATTCTTTAAAGTAACTGAATGAATAAAGAGAAAGACAGAGGGGAGAGAGGACAAACCAACACCCAAATAAACAAATACACACTTTCATGCACTCTCTCTCTCTGTCACACTCTCTCTCTCTCTCACACACACACACACACACACTGAAAATTTCAATCTGTTTGAGGACAAAGAACCACGTTTTGGGCGCAGGGCCAAGAGCAGTCCTGGTGGTCTTCCTGGAGGAGGCCACTCCCAGGGTTTCTTTTCTGATGGGAGCACATGCTCCACAGGAAACACTAGGGAAGCTCGGTGAGTGGCAGCAGATAGAACCCCCACAGGCTTACTCTCACTGCCCTTTCTGTCCTAACTTGACTCTCCAGCCGTGAGAAACCGGGCCCTCTCTTTCCAGCGTATGTACTCACCTGTGTGTTAGTTCACTCCGGTGCACGCCTGAAGCCGTTTCAGAACGAATGGCTCGCCCAGCCCTGGGAGAAACTCACGGACCCCCCAGACACCAGCAGTTCCCCCCTCTGCAGCTTTGCGGGACCCCGCCAAAAGGCTGTTTCCAGAAATTTCTTACGTTCGTTCTTTTCTTCCCCCGACCCCCCATGTAATAGGCTTTCTTTGTAATAGGGTTCTGTCCTGTTGTTAGGGTTTCGACTCCATGTTGAGTTCCCCCACACCCTGGTTGTCTTTCGTTGTTTCTCTCACTTGGGGGGATGTTTTAAGAGTATGCAAAACCCTACTACAGTCTAAGACCAGATGTCGTACCAAAAAAACCCACCCAGAGAAATGTGACTCCTCCCCCCTCTTTCCAGGGACCTCGGTCCCCACCCCCCTGCTCTCCACTCTCCCCTGCGCATGACCAATCTCAGGTTTCTGGGTGGCACTTCCTGTCATGCTTTCACTCACAAACGAGGAGATGGGTGCATCGTTTCCTATATCCCTTTCTTGCATGATGGGTCTCACACTAGGGGGTTTTGCACAGCTCCAGCGTGGGAACCACTGCCGCCCATTCATAGAGACCCCCTTCCTGTTCACGGCTGTATAGTATTCCACTGCGTGGCCACACCGTGGTTTCCTCAACGCGCATTGTTCCTGATGCTTTGTAGTTACAGAGCTGCGATGAACACAGCTTTCTGCCTGTGCGTTTTTGTATCTTGAGAGGTGGATCTCCTAGGGTTTGGTCTGGGCCCAAAGTTAAGTGTGTATTGAATCAGGTGTCGCCAAATTTCCATCTGAAAGGATCCTACCGATTAGCATCCCAGCCAGCAAAGCTTGAGAATGCCCAGCCCCCACGGCCTCACCCCCCACGATGTCACACTGTTTCTTGTTTATTCACTTGAGAGAGGCGGACAGACAGACAGACAGACACAGTGATGTGTTGTTCCACTTGTTCATGCTCTCATTGGTGGATACTTGTAGGTGCCCTGACTGGGGATCGAACCCACAACCTTGGTGTCTTGGGACGACGCTCCAACCAACTGAGCGGTATACCCAGCTGTGGCCTCTGTCACCCTTTCCTTGCTGTCTTTTGTGTGCTTGTTTTTGGCAAGTTTCGTAGATAAGCAATAAGCTGGTACAGTTTCGATTTGCATTTCTCCAATTTTGCCTGTCTCCCGGACTTTTTCATGGGGTCAGGAGCTATTTTAATACCCTTTTAGAGACGTGTCTGTTCGCACCTTCTCCTCACGTGTCTGTCAGTGTTTGGCCTTTTGTAGCATTGATTTTGGAGTTCCTTCTTTGATGGAGACATTAGCCGCTTGTCCTTGGGATGTGCTGTGAATACGTTCACTCTGTCCCTCAGTTGTCTTTTGTTTGTGAGGTCTGATCATGCCATTTCTTTAAAAAAATGTGTGTTCAGATTTATCGCTCTTTCATGCCCTCACCCCTGCATCTCGAGTCACCCTCAGGAAACCCCCACACATACACACACACACACACACACACAAAATCAGGGAGGACCTCAGACACCATGAGACAGTGAAATCGCATGTGTGGTGGAGTTTGCTCCAGTTCCGCAGGAACCTGGAGTGTTAAGACGCCCCACTACTCCCCCACACTGCCGGGGCTCTCAGCTGGCCCCATCCTCGCCACCCCGTCCTCGGCGCTGCCCCCCACCCCCGTCTCCCGGTTTCCCCGGTCTCAGCACGCCCAGGGCACCCCCATCTGAAACTGCTGGGCGATGCGGGCGGTCTGCCCTCCCCGGGGCTTCCGACTCCGAGGCGGACTCCCTGTCGTCCGAGCAGGGCCGTGAACCGCGTGCTTCAGAACTTCCGGCTGACCCGAGCCCTCCGTCCGCATGTCCTTGCCCCCCTCCCCCCCCTCCCTCTCGCCTTGTCTCTCTCTCGTTCAGCGTCGCCTCCCCCAAAGCCGCCAACCACAGTCTCTCTGCAGGTGAAGAAGCACGTTCGTAGCTGCGTCTCCTGCTTAAGAAGCCTCGTGGCCCCGAGGCGGGGGGCTCCCCAGGTGGGGGCTGGCCTGTCCCCAGAACACGGGCAGAGCCCTCCATGGGGATCCCGTCTTCGAAAGCAATGGGAACAGGGTCTCCTCTGTGCATTGCAGACGGGCGTGGCTACAAAGTACCTGCATAGTCGGCACCTACAAAGGTGTTGGTTGTATCTTCCTTGTTTTTCCGTTATGACCCTTAAAGGACAGAGGAAGGATTTTGCTGGCTTGGCCTTTTCCTTATAATAAATTAAGGGTTAAAAATGTAAGCGATGTTTGAAAGGAAAAATATTTCTCTTAATTCTCTCTCCCTATATATGTCTATAATATAGATACCTGTCCAACACATCTATATGCACACATACTATAGATATATATAGAGAGAGAGAGAAAGAGAGATCATTATTACTCTCTCCCTGGAGAGTTATGTCTGTCAACACACAAACCAAAAGATGGCATCTGTCCTGGACGCCGCTCACTGTGGAGGGTCACCAGGGCCTGGCATCGCGCTCACAAAAGCAGAATGAAAACCTACCTTCCAGGGAAGCCACGGCCGGAGACCTAACCTGTGAAGACTGGCTGCTGCAGAGCCGTGCATTTCCACTGCTGATTTGGACCGTCCCGAATGTTCTAAAAACTGACCCGGAGACTCCCCTGCCCGTCCCCTCCGTGGGTGTGGACCGTGCGGGGTCGGTGGGCCTGGGGCGCCGGCCCGTGAATCGCACGCACCGAGGAGACCTGGCGGAGTGGAGACGGACTATTTAATGACAGCCCTGGAGCCTGCCGCGGAGGAAGGGGACGGGAGCGGCGCTCAGCGGGAGGGGAAAGTTACGGCCCCTTGAATTCCTGTCTCCCACCGTTTCCCTTTGTCTGCTCTGTTTTCCAGGGACCCTCAAAGCCTAGACCCCCCGGAGGTCAGCAACGCGAAGCTCCAGTACGCCGGGTGGGGGCCCAAGGGGCAGCAGCTGGTAAGCGGACCGCGGTCGGGGCACGTGTGTTCGCGTCGGGCGCCGCTGTGGCTTTACAGCCCGAGTGTGTCTCACGCTCGCCGGCCTGTGTGTGCGAAGGACGTGCGGACGAGCACGCCAGGGCATCACTGATGCACACGTCTGTTTCACTTTGGGGGGAGAATCCTCTTACAGCTGGAATCGCCTCTGCTTTGGGGTCCATACCCTCTCTTCCCCAACCAACAGCCCCTGGCTGTGGCCGTGGGCGCGGCGGACCGGTTTCCTGGGAGGTCTGAGCACCCGCTCATCAGACGCCCTACAGAGGGGGGTTGGCAGGCTCGTGGGGCCCTTGGAAGGGTCTCGTGTTGCTCTTGGAACGCGGGTGCTTTCCTGCGGAGGGTGGGGGGCTGACGAAGCAGGCAGCTGCGTGTCCCCGGGAGCACGGCCTCCTGAAGCGGCAGCCCCAGCGTGCAGCGTCGCCGCAGCTGCGAGGCCCCTGGGTGCCACACCCCACATCTCCGCGGAGTCCTACCCAGACGGGCAAACCTGGGGTGTTCGGAGGTTCTGGGTGATGGGATGGTGCAGGGTGCCAGCCTTGTGGGCATCTCTGGGGGGCCACCCTGGAAGGAGAAGAGGTGTCTTGGGCCACACATTCAATGCATTGCGACACGTGATCAGGTTTTAGGTAAATTTACGGTTTTGTGTTGGGCTGCATCCGTGGGTGGGACACCCGTGGTGGCGGAAGGCCTCTGAGGGAGGCGTCAGAGGCTGCTGGTTCTGGTCCCGATGTGGACTGACTACTGGGGGAGGGGGGACTTGGCTCCCTCAGGGTTGAGGCTGCCGCCCACGACCCCGCTTCTGAGAGAGAGACTGGGGAAGGGGTCCGCCCGCGCCTGTGTCCACTCCAGCCTGGCGCCGTCTGAGACCAGACGGCACCGTCCCATCCGCCCTGTGCCGCTGGCTTTGTTTTAACTGTACCACCGCCGCCCCCCCCCCCCCGCAGCAAGTCCGGGCCGTGGACTCGCCTCTTTCAGCCGACTGACCGAAGCTGAGTTTGAAAAACGCCTCCTCCTAGAGTAGCACCGGCACGGTCGCTTCTCTGACCTCGGCGTGAGACCGTCCGCCCCAGGGCGTCCTCACCGTTCGCCTGGACCTGCTTCCCTCAGTGGAACGGCTCTGCTCCTCGGCTGCCCGTGAATTCCAGGGGCTCGAGCCGATGGAAAGGAGCAGGAGTACGGGGGCCACCGAACTCCGGTAGCGGTCCCCACGTTGTCCCCGCTGCTAAAAACTCTGGGATCGGACTTGGAAAAGCCCGTCTAGCTGCACGAACGCAGAGGGCCTGGGGGGCCGGGAGGCCAGTGGAAGGGGGTTGTTTTTCCCTCTGACGCGTCAGCAGCGGAGAGGGCGGGGGTCGCGCCAGCCCCTGCGTGGCACCGGCGTGCCCGCCCGCCCCCCCACGCACACCCAGGACAGGGCTTCGCCGTGTTGTATGTGAGTCGTGAAGGGTCCGGACACTCCACGCTGAAGGGTTTCTGTGCTCACACTGGCTCACTCAATTTTCTCTCTTAAAGAAAGAGAAAATGCTTTTTCTTTAAAGCCTTTGGGGTTCTGCCTTGCAGAAAAAAGTAATTTTCTTAAATAGCCTGTTAATGTGGTAAAAGTTCATGCTGCCAAAATGCCCACCGTTCAACCGGAGATATGAGATGAAAAGACTGTTCTGGAAACGCCAACATGCTTTGCTCGGTGCATCCGAGGGCAGAGGCCACGGACGTCAGGAGAGCCTTTGTCTCCCGTCCCTGCCGCGCACCCTGCAGCACCGAGCCAGCCCAGGGTGGGGAGGCGGGGGCAGGGAGGCCGGTGCAGCCAGGCCCCCTGCCGCCGTGTGGGAGCGGGGCAGCAGAAACTGGGAACCAACCCGACTCTGAACCCCGAATCCGGTCCTTAAACACCATGCCGCCTGCAGCCACATCACTGGTCTCAGAATCCAAAGGCCCTGACTTTGAACTTTAGAAGAAGGACGTTGTGTTGCGTTGGGTTCTGTTTCTCAACGGCCGTTAATGACCACAGATTTGGGGTCCAAGGGGAACATTCAGATCTTGGTTCCAGCAGGGGCCACCGCATGGATTAAGTTCATCTGTTCCGATTGCATGCCACGGAGCCACGCATAAAAAAGTACTTGGTAAACGGTGGCTTTTACTGTTGTCGCTGCTAGGGTTGTCACTTGGCTGAAGCAACATGTGGAGAATGAGGAGGACAATGGGAATTGTATCCAGTGACAGTCGGCGAGGGCCTGAAGGTGACCGAGGCTGCCCTGGGCGGAGCGGGTCACGCAGGACACGCGGTGGGGGCTGGGAGAGCGTCCGAGGGGCCCGGCCTCTGCTCCGAATCCCCCCCACCGTGGAGGGGTGCTGTTCGCAAGGTGCACCACCAGGTCCTATTCTTCCAGGTCCCCAGCCTTACGTGGGTCTGCCAGCGTCTGTCCCTTTGGGTGACAGCGGTGTCCCCCTGCTCCGTGGCCAGCCCCGAGAGACCGTGTTTCTCCTCATCCTCCTGGACACCAAACCCCAGAACGCGCTCATCAGTCTTCCGCCCGCGGAAGCTCCGCCCTTGGGCCAGCACTACCCCCTCCCCCTTCCTCTGCGCCGCCCCTGCCCCTCCCCCCACCCCAGCGACCGCCGTCCTGCCCGGCTTCTGCCGGTCTGGCTTTTCAGACTCCGCCTGTCCGTGAGACCACACGGTGTCTGTCTTTCCCCGGCTGACTTATGAAACGGTGATGGCGTATGGGAGGGGAGTGTCAGCGGGTGCTGTGGTGGTCATGGTTTGGTCACTCTTGCAACGTACACACTGTTACACGTGCACCACGTCTCATCGCAGCTGGGGCAGGGGGGGGCCTCCTGCGAGGCAGAGCACCCAGCCCCAGACCCCGCCGGGCGGCCTCCCCTCCCCGGGAAAGCCCCCAGGGGACTGAGCCGAAATGCGGCGGCCGCTGAGCTTCCCTTGGTCACAGCCGTCCCCGAGGGCACAGCCGTCCCCGAGGGCACAGCCGCGCGGCCCGCCGGGAGCAGCACGGGGGCGCAGGGGGCATCTGGGCAGCATTGGCAAACCCAGCGACGGGAGCAAGATTGGTCCTTCCAGCAAGAAGAGATCATCTCACGAAACGCCGCCTGCACAGCGGGGCCTGGGCGGAGGTGGCATCCCATTAATAACGTATAAAAGCCTCTAATCAGCTTGGGTTAATTTGGTATTCACTGTAAAAACATTCATCACGGGCACTGAAGTCCGTGACAGCGGCCACGGAATTAATTCCCAGGGATGGAGACCGCCGTGCGGTCCCCCGGTGACTGATGGAGTCGGGCGAGGGGGTGGGGGGTGCGTGAGCTGCTGGCACGGCCAGGGTGCCCTTCAGCGTGGACACGGCACGGTGCCAGCTCCAGGCCCCTTGGGGGTCAGTGGCATCCACGTTCCCCCACACTCAAGTAAATGCTCCGTTTTGGGGATTAACCTGGTCGTACGGACTGGCCAGCTTGGCCCAGCCCCACGCCGCTCGTAGGTACGTAACAAGTGGAATTAGGGTGGACGATGGGGCTTTCTCCTTCTGCCCAAAGGCGCCTTGAAGAGCAGGAATATCAAAACACAGAAGAGCAGCCCAGGCTGGTGTGGCTCAGTGGATTGAGAGCCGGCCTGCTAACCAAAGGGTCACCGGTTCAATTCCCAGTCAGGGCACAGGCCTGGGTTGCAGGCCAGGTCCCCAGTAGGGGGCGCTCGAGAGGCAACCACACATGGATGTTTCTCTCCCTCTCTTTCCCCCTCCCTTCCCCTCTGTCTAAAAATAAATAAAATCTTTTTTTAAAAAATGATGCAAATATGCAGTAAGAGTCAGGAAGACATTCCTACACGGAAACAGACAAAATGACGTCAGCAAAGACATGAGCAGAAGTCACCTGTGATGATTCTGGAGGCTGGAAATGCCCTCGGTGTGCCTAGGGAGCAGTCTGGGGAAGTATTGCACAACCACGGGATGAGCTCTCGCGCAGCCGTCCAATGTAGTAGGTGGGCTGCCCGGGCCGGGTGGCTCAGTGGGTTGGAGCATCGCCCAGGGCGCAGAAAAAGGTCACGTGTTCGATCCTCAGTTGGGGCGGGCATGGAAGGCAACGGATGGATGCTTCTCTCCCCGCCTCTTCCTCTCTGCCTAAAATCAGTAAAACCCTCAGGTGAGGATTTGGAGAATAGACAGGCTGCATAAACACAGGGGGACATGTCATCCTGTCAGCCCCACTCACACTAAAAATGCGCTGTCTGGGGCGTGCTGGCATGCGGGGAAAGGTCACTGTTCTGGCCAGGCTGGACGTGTGGGCCTTTCACCCACCTCCAAAAGTGCCTTGAATCCAGCCACCCTAGAGTTTCATTAAAAGTGAAAAAGAAAAGGAAATTTGCCATCAGCGATGAGTTTTAGGAATTCCACTCAACAGACATGGGCTCCAGCCGTGTGAGGGGGAGGGCAGGCTTTGGGGGGGAGGGGGATCCGAGGCAAACAGTCCTCAGAGACGCCAGTGTCTTTGATCCCCTCGATTTCAAAGCACCTTGCAAATGCGACCTTTCTCCCCGCCTGGGCTGCAGCCCCTAAGAGCTATTTCCCAGAACTCACTCAGAAGCCAAAGCCACGCTGAGAAGCAGGTGGACTTAGGGCCCTGACCCCGTCGGAAACATGGGTCTGAGGGTGAGCTGTGCTCTCCGCCGCCCAGCACCCCTAATCCGATTGTGGTGGAGCAGTGTATTATTTCTTAGGAAGAATCTAATTTCAGAGGGTGCTCACATCAGCCCGGGGTGATATTAAGTTAGCGAATTTCAAGCTAATCTATCAAAGGCGATTTAAAAGCAGGACCGAGTTCTGTGCATTAAGGAGCAGTGCCTTCCGTGATAGATTACTGAGACAATGTAACAAGGCAGTCATAAATTAAAGTAACCTCTTTAGACTTGGGGGCGGAGGGTGGAGGCCGCAGTTACAGTGTAGCCCTGGGCGA